ACCCTCGTTTGTTGTCCTCTTCTCCCTCTCTGCCTACGGTTTACCGGGCAGTTCTATTTGACGATATATATATATATATATTGTCACAGCCCCTCGTTTGTTGTCCTCTTCTCCCTCTCTGCCTACGGTTTACCGGGCAGTTCTATTTGACGATATATATATAACGAAATGGTGAACTATTTATTTGGTCGTTAATCTCAGCTTCTATAGTCGAGGTGGGAATGAAGAGGGATTCATGAGCTTAACCAAACTGCATGCTCCCAGTAAGGGCGCCGTTCGACACTCCTCGGGGACGCGATTCCGAGGATTCTGTCGTCGTTCCACCTGTCCTTGAAGATGAAATCGGAAATGAAAATGTGAAAGCACTCCAAGGACAAATCCTTGGGCTCCGAGGATTTCCCAGCCAAATCGTCCTCGGCTCCAAAGGACCTCGCGAGGTCCTTTGAGGCCCGAGGATCTGTGTTTTATGGAGAGGGGAGGGCATGCACGTAGAGAGACGATACAACTGAGAATTCTGATCGTGGCGGCACCCTATTGGCTGAAAGCCTGAAGCACAACTTTTTTTTCTTTTTTTTTCCCTTTTATTTTTCTGACATTGCTTTGAGGATGAGTCCTATAACCGATGCTCCGAGGGTAAGTGGAACGAAGACGACAAAAAACCTAAACTTTTCCGAGGATTCATCCTCGGAGCCCGAGGATGCCCCGAGGAGTGTCGAACGACGCCCTAAGCCTCCCGGCCAGCAAGGCAACTCTCCGAAAGGCCACGGTTTTCGGGGGAGGGTTGCTCCGAAGCAGTCCCCCCTTTGCCAGGCGACTAGTGCCACAAGCGATGGGCTGACCTTCTGTCTGATAAGCACCCGGACTGAGGCCCTCCAGAACAGAAGCGGCGTGTGTCTTAAAAAAAATGAAAAAGGGTCTCAGTCTACATACAGGGATAATGAAGGGGTGTTCTATTCGGGTGAACATGGTAGGGAGCAATCAATGCTGGTCAGGTATCCTTTGGCCATACGGAAGGAAGAATGGGTGTGTACATTATGTATCTTAATTTTGACTTGCCGGGGGAACAATAGGAACTGGACTGATGGTCCCCAGAATGGGCAAGGAGCCAGGACCATAAGGACCTAAAAAACAAACAAACAAACAAACATGACTGACTCTGAAACGCAAATTGCTATTCTTCCTTCCATTTTGCAGATTGAGTTGCTTCGCCTGCACAGCTCGTACGATGAGGGTCATTATCTGGACAAGGAGGTAAGACGCACACATCCTTCGTTGTCTTTGTCTTCTTCTTCTTGTGTGCTTTTTTTTTTTTTTTTAAAAGCTTAATCTGAGAAGCTTACCATTGGAATGTATCATCCTCTTTTTTTTTTTCCTTGTTAAAAAGAAATATAAAATTCAACAGAGACGCTTTCCATTTGGATATGTATGTTATTGTTTTGAAATTTTCAATTCCTTCTCCTCCTCCAAAGTCTCTCATCTCACTCTTCTCATTTCAATGTATCTTCACTCATCTTTTTTTTTTTTAATTCTATTTTTGTTTTTATAATATTTTATATTAATAACGAAATTTTAAAGAGAGGTGCTTTTTTTTTCATGTGAATGTATATTTCAGTCTCCTAATGAGTCGGTGAAGCTCCGATGGAACAGTTTGTCACAGCCTTACATTTGTTGTCCTCTTCTCCCTCCTCTCTGCCTACGGTGTTCCGGGCATTTCTGTTTGACGATATATTTGATTATTTTCAATTCCTTCTCCTCCTCCGGGGGCTCTCTCATCTCACTCTCTTCTTCTTCTTCTTCTTCTTCTTCTTCTTCTTCTTCTTTTGGAATTAAGGCTGGACTCTTATTAGTGGGGAGCCGCATGTGCCGGGAAACGGGCCTCTTCTAATCTCTTCTCTCCATCTTCTATCCTTTTCTCAATGTGATTACGTTCCTTGTCCTAACGTCCTTAATAGGAAAGAAGCGTGGCTCACTTGCTGCTCGCCGCTACCTGTTTTCATGTGCTCTACTGTTGTTTTATCTTTCGATTGAATTGATACTCATTTTGTAAATTTGTATTCATTTCTTTATCATTAATCTTGACCAGGTTTGAACCCGCGCCTTCTGGTGTGACAGACCACATGAAGCATGTGCTTCCAATTGGTTAAAAAAAAATGGAAATTTAATAAAAGGTATTAAAGTTAATTAAACATCTGCGTCTTGACTACTGCATCTGTTCTTCGCTTTTGACTCGCTCTACGAGTGCGTGCATGTTACAATGACTCGTTTAGAAAAAGGACCATGTGCAGCGAATTGTGCCTTGTTTTGCGCTGGGGGTGTCCGGGACCCCAGTTCTGCGGGTGGCCGGGCGTTGGTCTCTTACTCCTCCTCCGTCGTCGTCTTGATGTTGTTGTTGTGGCCCATTTGTCTTAACAGTAATTATTAATTGGCTTATTTTCTGTGGCCTTTGCTTCTTCCCTCCCCCCCCCCTCCCTCTCTTTTCTCCTCTGGTTTTGTAGGAAGAGAATGGTGTTGTAGAGGCAGCCGCTGTCCTCCTCTCGAAGATGCCGAGGATGTCTCCAGCTCTTGACGTGGTGCAGCCTGCTTCCGGTTTCACCTCGCTTCCAGAATTCATCAAGGTATGTGTTTTAAAAGGACAAAGAAAAAACAAAAAAGAAACAAAAAAAATCAAGGTATGTATGTGCTGCCATGCGGTTAAGGACTACCGTCTTCCTGCTAGTAAAATGCTTGGCCATTATCTCTGTATCTGGACTGAAAGCTGTGTCAGTTGCAGCTATATGATGACCGTACATTCTATTTGGCGGAAGACGGTACTGGGATCGGACAAACTCGCCTTTTTTTTAATTGAGCTATTAATGTCAGTCATTGTCTAACCGACAGTTAAACCACCAGTTCACCTGAGCCTGAGTTGAGCTGTTAACCCGTATACACAGTAATTTTTTTTTTAAACTTTTTTTATTCAGGCCCTGGCCGGTATTGAAGGCGGAATCCTGGTGAGAGACGGCCTGGGTCTGGTGTTCGGTCCAGAGTGTCCGGATCCGTCTCCCCCGGGAAAAGTCCGACTTAAAAAGAAAAAGAAAAAAAAGATATGTCATGCAGCATTGCCATACAAAAATCTTTTGGCTGAGGACCATCTCGAAATTCGTAGCCAAATCCAAAGAAAAAAAAAAATCAAAACGTTGTTCTTTTTTTTTTTTTTTTTTTTTTTTTTTTTTTAAGGGGGGGTTTCAATCCGGACGGTCTGGGCGGACGTCTGGATTGGTCTGGTGTCCAGGCCAGGCGTAGCCATGGTTTAAACGACCAACTCACACAAGGCTGAGTTGAGCTCTTACTGGTATAGGAGTAAGAGCTCTTTCTCCCTTTCTATGAAGGGCAACGGCCTTGAGATATTATCATTTGAATGGACCGGGCCTAGGTAATTCAGAATCACAGTGTCTTATCGATTTGCTCTGATTGGAGTTCGAACACAGGTCTGTATTTCAACAGTTCATGGGTGTGTACCGACTGAGCTAGGGCGGTTGGTATGTAGAGCTTTTTCTATTCGGGGCTGGGCCCGTAGTAATGGCTGAAAGGGCACTATGAAAAGTCCCATTTGGAAGTTTGTGGGCCTTCTTTGAAAAGGTAGCTTCGTCAACGTAGGCTCGTGTGAACTGGTGTTTTAAATGCAATTTTCAGTCTAGATACAGTGTGCAATGACTTGCTGGTTTCTGGTTGCCTGTAGCCTCTCTCTTGTCGAGGCTGTACCATGTGTAGGATAGATTCGTATTTTTGTTTGGCTGAGGGCTAACTGAGAGACCGGCCTGTAAGGAAATTCGTTAGGGACATATCTGCAAATTCGGGAAAATATAGGCCCGAACTAACTAGAATTCCCTACAGCTATCCTAACTGCGAAATGCAGGCCCGGGCTACCCCTTGGACAGACAGGCCCTAAGGGCCTAAGCTGATAGACGGTCCTATAGTCTATAGCCGGGTGGGGAGAGGCCCTAGAGGCCGAAACAGAAACGGTACCGGTCGGTCAGTCAGCCCGGTCCAGGTCGAGTCTAGGCTAGAGTAGACTATAGATAGGATGGGGACATGGGTTCACGGCTTTTGGCGGTTGGTACCGAGTACATCGCTGCTGTGCAACGCATGAACTGGAAGTGGTGACGGCTCAGCGTTGAGGGAGACGGACATAGCCAGACCTCCGGAGCACCAGCCATAGCTGGGACCTGCGCTGTACTCTGTCAGCACGCGGGGCTGTACAGAGGTCTGGGCTATGCCAGGTCTGCTGGAGGCAGAGAATTTGGTGCCCTGCTGGACCCTCTTCTGGAGTGGGGTTACAGGGTTGTGACGCTGCAGCCATAGCTGCAGCTTCTTCTTCAGAGATCATTTGTCACGAGTGGTGGCGCTGCTGCAGACTTCCACCCGGGAAGTCTTCCGACACTTCGTTATCATTAGATACTGTGGCGCTGGTCTTTTTCTTCATCCTCTGAGTGGCGCTTGGCCTCAGAGGCCTGTTTCAGGGTGGCGCTTCCCTCTGGAGGCTGTATCTGGGTGGCGCTTGATGTTTCAGGAACTCAGGGCTAGTAATAGCGGTTCATCAGGGTTGGGGAGTGAAGCGCTGCTCATTCCTGAGCAGTGCATCATAGTTCTGAAGTTATCCTTATAATTCGAGACTCTGAGTTTAATAAACAGTGTTGATACTGGGTTCCGACTATCATCGTTTCATTGTCTCTTGGATGTGATCTACTCGGCTTTCCTTTACGACTGGTTGTGAGGATTGAGTGGAGTGAATTGCACTTTCAGTGTACCCTGTCATATCGCACGGTCAAGTCTTCTGCTGTGTTTATCTCTCCCTGTGTGGTGTGATACTCCTATCCTCTCCCCTTCCTTCTGTGTATGTATGGGCATACCTGGGAGTCTATGTGAGTGAGTGTGGGTCTTCAGACAACAGACAATCAGAATAGTAACACTGTGACTGCATTTGACACAACTTTCAGTCTAGATACAGTGGCGGCATTTGACACAACTTTCAGTCTAGATACAGTGACTGCATGTGATGCAACTGTCAGTCTACATACAGTGACTGCATTTGATGCAGCTTTCAGTCTAGATTCAGTCTGTAGATCACATGGGCTTGGTGTGCATGTATGATGTGTTTTGGTGTGTTGCAAGGCAAGACAGAAGTGCTACCTTTTTTCTTCTCCTGATTTTTTATCAGGTTTCGAACTCGTTACAAGTTTATCGACAGTTACATCTCTGTGGGTCTGTACTTCTCTGTAGTGATTCAGCCACATGCGCCGGGTCTCCGCATGCGCGCGCGCGCGCGTGTGTGTGTGTGTGTGTGTGTGTGTGTGTGTGTGTGTGAGATTTGTTTGTGTGTGCGAGTGCAGGCAAGGCAGAAGTGGTTGACGCAGGTGGAGAAATTAGAGACTGTGCAGTTTTGGGAGATGTGTGGGGCAGCCACGCAGAGGGGACTGAGAAAGGTTCTGAGTGTTGTCCTTGGAAAGGCTTGGGCATTGGAGGAGGCAACGTCTCATTGGATAGAGCTACTCGTCGCGGAACTACTCCATCTATACCCAACACATAAGGTGATACTTCACGTAGCCTTGTCTCTTTCCTGTTTTTTTTTTTTTTTGTTTTTTTTTTTTTGTTTTTTTTTGCATTAACGTACCATAATTCTTTGTAAGAAAGTACGTTTATGTCATGAGTTTCATCATGCAATATAATTGATGTGCGCAATGTAAGAAAGTACGCTAACATTGTTGGTAAAAAGAATGTAGCTTATCCATACCTTATCCATATGCAAGGAAAATGAGCAATAGCGAAATGACAGAAAATCCAGAATGCAAAATCACATGGAAAGCCAGAAAGTCCAACGCTGTTCAGAAAGCAGAAATGCACTGATATTTTTCAACCAATGGAGAGCCAAAGCACCGAATCCGAATGTCAATGAGAGCGTACTTGCCACCACCAACCAACATATGTATCCAGAGCCCTCCCTCCTTACTTGGCGCTCAGCCCCGAGACTACGATCACACAGCTACTAGCAGCCTACAAATTGACAATGCATCCTGTTGACGTCAGCAGCAACAACCGAAGTACGTGAAGATGTCGACCCTGTAGACCATCGCCAAGACGAGGAACGTGCCCTCACATCACCATCTTCATTTCTCTCTCTCTCTCTCTCTCTCTCTCTCTCTCTCTCTCTCTATCTATCTATCTATCTATCTATCTATCTATCTATCTCTCTCTCTCTCTCTNCTCTCTCTCTCTCTCTCTCTCTCTCTCTCTCTCTCTCTATCTATCTATCTATCTATCTATCTATCTATCTATCTCTCTCTCTCTCTCTCTCTCTCCCCCTCGTCTTGTCTACCCACGTCTTCCTTCCCATACACGAAGACCACCAGTGCCTCCACTGGCTATCCAAGCCAAGCCCTGGCTATGGCGCTGCCCTCAGCAGTGGCCTGTCTTCTTCCTCGACACCCGCAAGCACCCGGCATCCGCTAGCGCACAGCAAGCAGCCTGCGAGCGCACGCTCCAGCAGCGGTGCCGCTTGCAGAAGCCAGTGCCCGAATGACCACACCAGTGGCGAGCCCTTTCCTTTATGGAAAGTGCTCGCCTGATTTGCTGTCTGGCTGGGCCTCATGTGTTTCCAGTAGCTTCTGATTGGGCCAAAGTGTCGGCGCCCAGGCCCATTCAGACAGTGGCCTGGGACCAAATTGGTTAGGCATGCCCAACCACCCAGGAGTAAACGCGAGGTTCTTCCTGCTTCGCCTGTGCTGCTGGAAGAGCCTAGAAGGCTCACAAATTATTTGTGATTCTCACGAGTAAGGAGGATGTAACAAACTGGCACGTGACAACTGTCTGGCGCCCACCAATCTTTGCCAAATTGACGAACTCAGGCCGTATTGAAATTCAGGGGCCCGCCTTCACTTAGGGCGGGCTCATGCTTGCTGAAAGAGGCCCACAGGGGTATGCCGAGGAGGTAACTCGTAACAAGGCCTTGTTGAAGCTCCATACCCACATAGGGGTTCCAACAGGCTCTGCTTGGGCTCCTCAGCCTTTCTCATAGGCCTATAAACTGGCACTAGCTAAGCGCCCGCGGTGCGGGTGGTGCGGGCAAGGCCCGCGAAAAAAAAAAAAAAAGAAAGGGCGACGACCTTGAGCTGACCGGCTCCAGGCAAGTCATTAGTAGTTGGTTCTACTCATCGAGTTCCATCATCTGGATTCAAACTTGGGTCTGTATTTCAACAGTTCATGATTGTACCCACTGAGCTAGTCTCTTGTTTTTTTTTTCTTTTTTGTCATTCTTGCGCACTTGGATGTTCCCGCCCGATTGTTTTGTCGCGGCGCGCACGAAACGCGAAAACGCGGCGCATCAGAAACGAAAACGACAACAGGGCGGAAGAAAAATGAGAAAACGAAAAAAAAAAGAAAGAAGAATTGGGGGAAAAAAAAGAAAACCAAAGAAAAGAATGGGGGGAAAAAAAAAGAAAACCGCCGAAAACACAATTAAAAAAAGTGGCTGGGCCACAACACGACACTTTCTTGCAATCCGACGGCGGGCGCTTCGAGATATTCACTCGCATCGACGCCCGCCGCCGCTCGGCCCCGTGGGCGTGCCCTCTTGTTTTCTGGCGCGCTGTGAACAATTCGGTATGCGCACCGCTCTGCAAAMCGCCCCTCCCTCGATCGCCTTCATCCGCCGGCCTGAATCAAAACTTCGGCCCGATTCCGGCGCGCAGCGAAACACGACCTCCCCCCGCGGGCCGCTCACGCTTAAGGGGTAGGATTGGCACACATTTGCAGGCCCGCCTTCACTTAGGGCAGGCACGACTCCTTTCCAACACCGGCGAGGTACTAGATCCTCGGACATACCTTTTTTTTTCGGCGAGGTACTAGATCCTCGGACATACCTTTTTTTTTTTTTGCATTAGTGTCTAGGCTACCAGAGTGGCCCGGGGCCACTTGCCCGGCCAGGCCAAAAAAAAAAAGTTTAAAAAAAAATATTTTTTATTTTAAATTTGGTAAATAATTTCGATGTGACCCTGAGGCAAAAGTTGTTCAGTTTATTTTTTTATTATTATTATGTTTTTTTAAAAGGCTAATTCTTTAAGCCCAACCAAATTGAACCAATTCAATTACCTGTCAAATCTGGACAGGACGGCCTTTCAGGCCTTTTTAACATAGTTTTTTCCGGATTTTTTTTTTTTTATTATTTTTCCGAGGACCATCCCTGGTCCTTGCACGGCCGGGCCATCCGGGAAAATAGGGTGACCCGGGCGGCCCGGCTGGTAGCCTAGATTAATGCACCATAATTATTTCTAAAAAGGTACGTTTATGTCATGAGTTTCCTCGTGCAGTATCATTGATGTGCGCAATGTGAGCCACATAATAACATTGTTGGTAAAAACTACTAAAAAGAATGTACCTTATCCATACTTTTTTTTTTTTTTTTTTTTGCATTAATGTACTGTAATTGTAAGAAGTATGTTTATGTCACCAGTTTCCTCGTGCAATATCATTAAAATGTGCGCAATGTGAGCCACGTAATAACATTGTTGGTGTAACGAATATACCTTATCCATAAATTCCATACCTTATCCATAATAACATCATCTTCCCCTGTTTTAATCCGGTATCGCGTAAACTTTCTGAGGATCCGAAACAGCTCGGTTGCTGGCCAGGGAGCGTTAGAGGTCGGTCTTTTTTTTTGGTTTCCTGCTGATGGAACATTGCTTATACGATTTTAATTTTTAACTGGTCTGGGGCACTTTAAAAAAAAAACAAGTATGAATAAGCATGTAGTTGTTTCAGCAAACTGCGACGTTTCTGTGTGGGGGGCAGTGTGTGCAGAGCACCTGGTCGAGACAGTGTCGGAATGCTCTGGCTTTGACCGTACAAGAGAGAGGAGGGGTGGGGGGGGG